TATTTTTTCCTATCGTCTTAGGCGACCTCTGTGTCAGGGTCTTGGGGGTCGCGAACCCCATGTTAAGAACCTCTGGTTTACGCTTTGTCAGAATCGACAAATTGAGGAAAAACATGTTAATACTTGACTATATCTGTGTTTTGGTATTTATATATATAATAGGCGAAGCTTAATTTTATTCTTTTGTTTAGACTTTCACCCTTCTGTCACAAAAAAGCTTGGCACACCTTGTGTTTCTTATGTCACAACTAGCAACCTTCTGTCACAAGAAAGCTTGTGTAGTCTGGCTTATTCAAATACTAGAATGCTATTTAGTAGAAATCAAGTAATCCGTGGTTTGGGTTCTCTTTGATCAGTGGTTCTCAACCTTCCTGATGCCGTGACCCTTTAATACATTTCCTCATGTGGCAACTCCCAACCACAAATTATTTTCCTTGCTAATATATAGTTGTAGAGTAAATGTGTTTTCCGATGGTCTTAGGCCGCCACTGGGAAAGGGTTGTTCGATCCCCAAAGGGGTCGCGACCCCCAGATTGAGAACTGTTGTCTTAGATAGTTTAGTGAAAGATTTAATGAATGATTTATTTAATTTATGATTTGATGAATGATTTAGTGAATGATTTAATGAATGATTTAGTGAATTATTTAATGAATGATTTAATGAATGGTTTAGTGAATGGTTTTTAATAAATGATTTATTGAATGGTTTAGTGAATAGTTAAATAAATGATTTAATGAATGATGTAATAAATGATTTAATTAATGATTTAGTGTATGGTTTATTGAATGGTTTAATAAAAGATTTAGTGAATGGTTTAGTGAATGATTTAATAAATGATTTAGTGAATAATTTAATGAATGGTGTAATTAGTGATTTAATGAATGATTTAATGAAAAGTGTAATGAATGGTTTAATGAATGATTTAGTGAATGATTTAATAAATGATTTAGTGAATGATTTATTGAATTTTTTAGTGAATGGTTTAATAAATGATTTACTTAATGTGTAATTAATGATTTAGTGAATGGTTTAATGAATGGTTTAATGAATGATTTAATGAATGATTTAATGAATGATTTATTGAATTGTTTAGTGAATGGTTTAATAAATGATTTACTTAATGGTGTAATTAATGATTTAATGAATGGTTTAGTGAAGGGTTTAATGAATGGTTTAATGAATGGTTTAATGAATTGTTTAGTGAATGGTTTAATCAATTATTTAATTAATGGTTTAATGAATGGTTTAATGAATGATTTAGTGAATGGTTTAATGAATGGTTTAATGCATGGTTTAATGAATGATTTAGTGAATGATTTAGTGAATGGTTTAGTGAATGGTTTAGTGAATGGTTTAATGAATGGTTCAGTGAATGATTTAATGAATGGTTTAGTGAATGGTTTAACGTGGCCTCACCCCCAACCCACGTGCTGGTTATCATCAGAATGCCATTCCTTTCTACCAGTGACGTCAGTGTTTACACCAGAGCTGTACATCTGCTGTAAATGTTGGCAAGTTCACCTGAGACATTGGGGCCAAAACGCCGTGTCTCCGTACAGTGGCTTTACTTTGGGAAATCTAGAGATGTATTTATAGAAGATAGTTGGGGGTGGGGTTAACCTTTGTCAAAGACAGCATTGTTCCATATGACGATAAGGTGGAGCCACCTAGCCTAGGTGATACTGGTACGGGGGGGGGGGAGTCAATTACCATCACAGCCGATATATTTATTGACCCCGCCTGTATACAATAGACATCAGCTATAGACAACACCTTTATACAATAGACATCACCTTTAGACAATAAACAACACTTTTAGACAATAGACAACAACACCTAGCCTAGGTGATACTGGTACGGGGGGGGGGAGTCAATTACCATCACAGCCGATATATTTATTGACCCCGCCTGTATACAATAGACATCACCTATAGACAACACCTTTATACAATAGACATCACCTTTAGACAATAGACAACACTTTTAGACAATAGACAACACCTACATACTATAGACAACACCTTTATACAATAGACAACACCTACATACAATAGACAGTATCTATAGAGAATATCTTATAGGCCAGGGTTTCCCATACCTGGACTGCTCCCACCCCTTGAAGGTTTAAGATGGCAGTTGATGAGATGCAAATAAAGGGGGCGAAATTCAGTGGGCATGTTGACCTTTAAGTTGTGATCTAAAGATCTAGACATTTCTGGAGTACATTTTACTTTATTTCATAAGCCACAAATTGATTTTCCAAGCAAAAATTTTAAAGTAAATTCTCTCTTAATTTTAAACAGCATTATTACTTTTGAAAGGGGTCTGAGACAGTCAAACAATATGTAGGGATCCCAGACTAAGGGGTATGAGACTTGGTCAACAATATGTAGGGATCCCAGACTAAGGGGTGTGAGACTTAGTCAAACAATGTGTAGGGGTCCCAGAATATGGGGTGTGAGACTTAGTCAAACAATGTGTAGGGGTCCCAGAATATGGGGTGTGAGACTTTGTCAAACAATGTGTAGGGGTCCCAGAATATGGGGTGTGAGACTTAGTCAAACAATATGTAGGGGTTCCAGAAAAGGTTGGGAAACACTGCTAAAGCTTATTAACAATATAAATTTAAATTGACTATGCTAATTTGTTCATTTACGATACTTAGACATTGAATTTAAATTTGAAAAACTTGCTTGAAAGTACAGTGTGCGCCACTAGTAACCGTACTGAAACTCCTCATTTGAACTGGTTATGGGTTTGTTCAAGATGCAGGAGTTTCTGTGTTGTCACATTTGGTGACCACTGTATCATGTTGACTAGCTGTAAGGTATCCAATGTTAAAAGAATGCAGTTGGAAGGAGGGGGGAGGTATATTTCACCAACTGAAAAGTTTTATTTGTGGAAGTGGGGGGGTCGCAACACGCTTGATCTCCCCCCCCCCCCCCCCCCCCTTTTACCCCCCCCCCCCCCCCCCCAGGTGGCACAAAACTGAGAGAATGTGAACCAGTTATAAACCAAACCAACTTGGATGATTGAACATTTTAATACTGGCTAATAAGCACAGTTCATTCTGTTGTTTTAGTTTAAATTTAGCAAAGATCAGAGACACAAATGGGATCTTTTTTTTTTTAGATGCAAGGTGAAAGGTTTGTGCAAAGTCAGTTTGTAGAACATAATAAAATAAGTCAGTGTTAAAGGAAACAAAATGTATTGATTGTTTTTAAGTACTTGACATGTTCAGTATTTTGCAGAATGAAGAAATGATAGAAATCTAATGCTCAGAGACACTTGAGTGTTTGGTGCCCAGGAATAAGATTCATTTTTGCGTCTCCCTCAACTCTCAAGCCCATTATTTTCATCAATAAAATACCATCAAAGCCCATTTTGGCGCCACCAACTAGTCTAGCGCCAGGTCTAGCAATATTGTGTACATGTCTTCAGGTTTGAGTTAACTTTTGTTGAGTCTACACTGTTAACTGTTATCTTGATTTTAATTGGCAGAAGCATACAGATCGAGGATGAAAGAAAGATGAGTCCATCGAAGCACTGCTCTACTGGTTGTGAGAAACCTTACAGAATATAGCTACACAATGATCCCAATATTGCCTGTGGGTTGAAAGTAAGTTTTTATCAAATGTTTTTGTTGTTTTTTTAAATATTATTTATCAAGAGTTTTAAAGTATTAATTTATAAAAACTGCTTTTTGTGATGCTGATTGTTTGTTAAAAAAAACTTATAGAACAACATGCCTATTTATACTGCTGAATTTATTAATGGAAATAAAAAAGAACTAAAATTTCAAAGGTGTCCACTTAATATAACAGTGTCTTTTTTTTTAAAATATTAGCTAAGACTTCAAATAACATTTAAGGCATTTCTCTACACTTGTAATGTACATTTATTTCTTTGATTTTCCAAAAGCTATAAAACAAATTATGCAACAATGGCCACCGATGGTCAGATGCCACTTGGACCCGGTACCAACCTGGACATAGTGCGTCAAAGAGCACAGAAGGCTGCGGAGTTTTACCAGCAACAACAGCAAGGCTACAGTGGCGGAGACCAAGAGGATGTGGGCTCAGGGCCTGCCTCTCTCCCACACAACAGGGTCACGCATCAATATTCAGAGAATTATCTCACAAACCACAATGTCGCCGGGCAGGGCTATGCTTCGGGTGATTCTGGCAGGTCGGATACTGGCCGAAATACTAATCTGAACAGGGTTTTATCTGACGACTCATTTGAGGCTGCCCTGGCACCGGCGTCGAGCAATAGTTTCTATAGAGCCAAAATGAAGGCCGGAATAATAGACATGAGGAGTTCCTACAATGAAAGGATAGGGGGCGTGGGTGGTCGAGCAAGGGCTCGAACATTTCATGGCCCGCACACAGGAACTAGGCCAAGGACTATAACTTATGCCCTCGAAAATAAACAACCACACGTGGGCCAGCAGCAGCACCCACAGAAACTAGCGCCCACATCTCAACCCCATTCACAGCAGCAACCAGCACCACAAAAACCTGCCAGAACATACACCACCAACAGAGCACAGCTGTACAGAAGCAGCAGCGACCTTGAAGTGGACACTGGCGAGGTTGACACGCCGCCGCCGGCACCTTCCAATCTCCATCGCGAGTACGGCAGCACCTCCTCTCTTGATGTGCTCGGAACAAGCAACGACAATTTTTTCACCATGCTCAGTGAGTTTCGACAGCACGCCTCCGACCAGCGGAGTCCGGCCCCGCCACGCCTCCAGGAATTACTTCAAGGTCGTTTAGAGTCCACCTCAGAACCTCTTATACAAGGGGCATCAGATAGCAATAAAGTGTTTGTGAGATTTCTCAATGGAGCAGCAGTTAATGAAAAAGACACAACTGTGGACGACGTTGATGGTGGCAAACAAAGTAAAAGTAAATCTAAGCACAAAGAAAGAAAACAACGTGCCAAGTCCATCACAGGTGAAGGTAGTGCTGGTATACTCAAGAAACTCAGGGGCAAAGTGGACTCGGATCTGATCAGCTCTAAGTCAGAAGATCGGGGCATTTCAGAAGATTTACCATCTCGGTCAGAAGATAACCTTCGGCGCCGTGCCTTTGTCCATTTTGATTGTCAGTCTGTGGGCGTTGACCTGGAGAACGTCATCAGGCAACGTTTACATGGATTATCCTATAAAAATAACACTTGTACGGGTGCATCTGCGGCATCGGGTCAAAGGAACAGTCTGGCACCAGATAAAGATGACCCAGATATTCTGGCCGACACCGATGAAGGAGATGGGAAGAGTAATGACCTTGTTCTTTCATGTCCATTTTTTCGTAATGAACTTGGGGGTGAAGATGAGCGGACAGTTAGTTTAACAAAAGTGACAGCACACAAGAGGATAGCAGGCACAAATTCAGTTTCACTTCCATTCAGCAATGGCTACAGGTCTCAGGTTGGAAAAGATTTTTTTTTTTTTTTTGTTGTTGTTGAAAGTGATAGTCATTTTGTAATGATTTTAATCTTTGTTTAACTTAAAAACCACATTGTTATGTTTAAACACCATACAGAAATGGGAAGGATGGGCTATCAAATTACTAGCTAACTAATCACTTAAGAGCTTTTACTGCATTATAAAAGCTGTTAGAGTTGTAAATTTATTTTTCCTGCACTGATCTTGACAAGTGTGTCATCTTGTCATAATATGGCACCTGAAACCCTGCAATGATTAGAAAGGTTGTGCTCTTATTATCACCAAAACTTGACCATTCATGTATTAAACTAATTTAAATGTCGCCTTTGATATGATTGCCTCAGGTTCGGCATCCTGCATGCTGTGGTGTGGCAATACTCGATTCATCCCCATCCCCCTCAGGGCAAATTTTACCACCTCTCGTCTCCCATCGGGGCCATGTCATTGAGTATGTGGACCATGGAGCTTATTACTATAGACACTTTTTTTATACTCAAGGTAAATTCATTGCCTTATTCAATCTCAGATATGCATTATATTTAAAAATTAGTTTTAGTCATGTCAAAAATGTCTTAACTGTTAATAAAATACAAAAAAAAATTTTTTTTTAAAGTCCAACTCAAAGGAATATTGTAAATCTTTTTTGATGTGTATGTAAGTGTGTTCAATTAATCAACCTAATGACATATCATCTATCTATCGTATCAGATGTGGCTTTAATTTTAAAGACTTTACTTTTTTAAAGTGTTTAATGATGGCACTGATTAATTTGATGTCCATTGGTGTTTCAGAACACCAGAACCTATTTGGTGCAGATGAGAACCTCGGTCCTGTAGCTATCAGTGTAAGGAGAGAAAAACTCGACATGGAAGACAGAATTAACAACTTGGGGCGTTCTGATTATGGCACATCTCAGTATAGGATTATTTGTAGGACTAGTGAGGTAAGTCCTTATTCCAAAATTAATGACGTGATTATTTGTAGAAGTATAGAAATAAGTTTGTTTAGCACAATGCATTGTTTGATATGAAATGAAGGGGTTGTACTGTTTGAAGTGGGTTTTCGGGTTAGTTTTTTGTTGTATGAACTGAAGCCTAATGAGCTGTCAAATAAGTCACCCAACAAGTGATTAATAGCCACTCCAGTTATCTTTATCAGATTTTAAAATACAATTTGAAAATGAGCTCCTACAAAAGTTATTTGATTCACCCTTTTAAATTATGCCTTAGGAAGCCAAAGGTAATATATATATATTTATATCACTTGATATCTTTCTTTTTTTAACTTCTCTTTTTTCTTTAAATTAACTAGTGCATGTCAGCTGGGTTTTTTTAGCCTTATTTTGTTTGTGTAACTTAAAAATTGATTTAGAAACAGTAATACTAGGATTGTTAAGAGTATATAAGAAAAGGTTAAGAGTCTGATGCTATTTATTTCCAAGCCTTAATGAGATATGGTAGTTAATAAATATAGATTATATTTTTATTTTTTTTAAATGCGTTCTATAATTTTGTTGTCCAGCAAAGCTGTATGATCTTTTCTGCAATGTAAGGCGCCACCTCATTTCACTATATTAAACCCTGGTAGATTGATTTTGTGTAAAAATCTGATGGACAAGAAATAAATAATTTATTTGTGGTCAAAGTCTGGGTTCGACAGAATATTTTCAATGTATTGAAGACAAATGTACTATTTTTAGAACATTGACAGCACAGACGTGTTGTGATAGCTCCTATTGTCATCTGATATATGAATACCAGATATACCAGATTTATGTTTTAACCCCTTTCTTGAATCCTTCTACAGAATAGGGTTCGTGGGAGCTTCAAGGATAATGAAATAAAATGGATTCATAAATACAAATATTAGTTATTTTAACTTGACAAAAATATTAAAACTCATTTTTCTTTAAACAATCAAAATGCACTTAAGTACTTTTTCTACTATACCCTTCATATCTATGTATATATATATATATATATCTAACGGAAATGTACAACCTATTACCTGTTGTTTAGCTGACAACACTGCGGGGCTGTATACTAGAGGATGCCATCCCGTCAAGACTGAGCAGCTCCAGGGGGATCCCCATTAAAGATGTCCTAGAGATGGCTGTGCCTGAGGTCCAGCTGTCCTGTTTGAGGCAGGCCGTGGCAGGACCAAAGACTTGTGAACAGCTACTCAAATTAGATGAACAAGGGGTGAGTAGTGCAGCTTTTCAACAGTTGATGCGCACCGCCAGAATTACATGCAGGGAGCTTCTCCGGTACAGGAGGCATGAAAGATATTATTGTTAATGCTGCTTTTAAATTTACCAAAATGAAATTCACCACACAGAAATAGTTACAATTATTTTCTTTCCCCATTTACTTTTCATGTGCACACACCTTCCACACCCACTCCTCTATGTGCACACACCTGCCACACCCACTCCTCTATGTGCACACACCTGCCACACCCACTCCCCTATCCGCACACACACCCGCCACACCCACTCCTCTATGTGCACACACCTGCCCCACCCACTCATCTATGTGCGCACACACCTGCCACACCCACTCCCCTATGCTCACACACACCTGCCGCACCCACTCCTCTATGCGCACACACCTGCCACACCCACTCCTCTATGTGCACACACCTGCCACACCCACTCCCCTAATCTCACACACACCTGCCACACCCACTCCCCTATGCTTACACACACCTGCCACACCCACTCCCCTATGCTCACACACACCTGCCACACCCACTCCTCTATGCATTTGTGCTATGACTCAAAACAATTTCATTTAATAGCTCACACTTCATTTTAGGTTTCTGGTGGCTTTACTTAAAACTTTGAGTTGTGTGCCAGCAAGGTGGCTATGAGTCATTATAGGTTTTGTTAGATGTGGCTCGATAACACTGTCACTTGAGACCTGAATGGCTTCTTTTTGGTCATACATAATAATTATTAGAAACCAAGAAAGCTCGTCGTTACTCTTCAGCAAGGAAATAGTCACTAACGGTTTGTTCCTTCAGGTTATCATTAGATATTTAATTTAACTTGGGGCGTACATTTTGTCTTGTCTTGGACATTTGTTGAACTTGAGTATTGAATACTTTTATTATAAAACACTGGTGTCGATGACAGACTTCTAGGTTTGTTTCCATGGACTGTAACTGTTCTTTTGTCTTCAGATAAGCAATACGTACAAAGTGGGCATCATGTACTGCAAGGCAGGCCAGAGTACAGAAGAGGACATGTATAATAATGGTAAGTAGAATTCACTACTGTTACATACCATTATTGTTTGAAGATTTAAACTATTCATATTTTGGCTCATAGAAGAAACAATATGTAACAAAGGACTGAGGAGACAGTACCAAAGATAATGATACTAACAATATTTAATTCAATTTTAAAAATTAATTTCTATGCCAATACAAAATTGGGTACGGAAGCAGAAAACTAGATCTACTTACAGCAAGTGAAAAAAGTACTCTCCTCAAAATACAAATATTAATTTACACAAACTATTATATGACGTTTTCTATAACAAAAATCTAACTCTCACTATCTGTCTTGCTTTGTCTATGTCTCGCTGCTAAGAAAACACACAGCCTATCTATATAGGAACCAACTCAGAACGGTTAAGTACAGAAATTGTGTCACCTAATGGCCTTCTTTAGAATGATGGAAGGCATTCGAATGTAAACAACCTTTTCCCAGAAAGGGGTGGGTATGGGATGGCACAGCACATTTACTGGATGATGTCAATATCAAGACCATACTCTAGTATGGAGATGAGTGTGGTGGCTAAATATAACAAGCCACCACTATACTAGTGGAAGCAAGAGCTATAAATAGCTCTGTGTTGAAGTGAAAAATTAGGGCGCGTCATAGGCTTTATCATAAGGATCACACAGACATTACAATAACTTTTAATAATAATCACAACAGTAGACTGGGCGTGTAAAATGTATTGAGGTATTTTTTTATCCTCTTATTGAATTAAATCTGTTCCTTTTTTTTTTTTTCTGCATATTCCGGCCGAGAGTGTTAATGAGATTATGAACAAATTACTGACAAAAATGCAGGAAGTTTTTTGTTCATAAAATCCTTACATTCATTGTTCACACCTGTGCAACTCTTCTGTCATTCAAATTATGCATTTCAATGATATATTCATTTATAGAGTTCAGTGAACCGCCACTTGAAGAGTTCCTGAATTTGATCAGCCAGAAGGTGAGGTTGAAAGGATTTGAGAAGTATCGGGCTGGACTGGACTGTAAAAGTGAGTAACAGATTAGTAGCTCCATCTTGTTTATTAAGGGGTTATTTTCATACTATTAGTTATATTATGGAGGTTACATAACTGGGATAGTTTCAGTGAACGTGTACCTTTGATTTGTCCCCACTTGTCATCTCATGTGTTCAATGCTTCATGTTGACTTCCAGCCGACACAACAGGCACTCATTCCTACTACACCACATTTAACAACAACGAAGTCATGTTCCATGTGTCAACCCTGCTTCCATATACTCCTAACAACAAACAACAGGTATGTACTGTACATTCTTTGCTCATTTATTTCAGATCAGTTTGCAAATGTCATTTACACACCCCCCACCTCCCACGGCCATTTGTAAAATTATGCCTTTTAAAAATGTTCGTTTTTAAACTCTTAGTCTTTACATCCATGTTTAAAGACATGTTCAAATTAGATCTATATTTAAAGATATGTTCAAATTAGAGCTATATTTAAAGACATGTTCATATTAGATCTATATTTAAAGACATGTTTAAATTAGATCTATATTTAAAGACATGTTTAGATTTCAATTGCAATATTTCTTCATATTTTAGCAATAAAAAAGAGAAATTGACCACTCTAAAAACCTTATACTGCATACTTCATGAATCAAATTTTCACGGTCTGATTTGAGAAGCTTTAAATTTTTATTTAAAAAATATTCAATTTTATTCAAATAAATTCAAGTTAAGGTATCAATTCTTTTGTTAAACTCCTTTTATTGTTTATGAAATTTAAGAAATGGATTGTTACTAACCTGATATTACGAAGTTCAATAGCTTCAATGAATTACAATTACTCGACAAACCATTGATTCATAGATCAATGGTCTCTTTATTAAATATAATACAACTCATAAAATATAACTCTTTAGCACTGCTATCGCTACACACCCTCTTACCCAAAAATGACACAAAAATTCATAGCATTTAGCAACAGCTACCCAAACACTCTCCAAACCAAACACCCAGCCACAAAACACATACAAGTCCTTAACATGGATCAGGAATTATTATTAAAAAAATATCCATCAAACTGAAATGAGTTCAAGATAATTATTTTTTAAGGTAAAATTTCTTTTGAAATAGATTTCATCAAGACTATTTTTTTCTTTCAGCTTTTACGAAAGAGACATATAGGTAATGATATTGTCACAATAGTATTTCAAGAGCCCGGCGCTCTCCCCTTCACACCCCAGACGGTGAGGTCACAATTCCAGCATGTTTTTGTCCTGGTCAGAGTGAGCAATCCTAACACAGACGGTGCACGCTACAGGTAACTGACATTATCAGTGCACAGCTAAAGGCTTTCTTTTATTATTAATTTTATTTTTTTAGGAAATTGATTTTTAAAAAAACAAGAAAGACGTTTCGTTTAGAGACTTTTCAATCCTTAAGTGTCATACCAAAATTTGTGTGCCCTGTTCACCCACAAACAACTTATATGTCATATTATTGCATATTGTGCTAGCTTTTCACACATAAACAACTTACATGTCATATTATTGCATATTGTGCTGTGCTAGCTTTTCACCCACAAACAACTTATATGTCATATTATGTCATATTGTGCTAGCTGAAAACTGAGCTGATTAATTAATGAAACTTAATAGATGCCTTACTAATGTTTCATCTGCAGCATTGCAATAGCTCGATCCAAAGATGTCCCACCATTTGGTCCACCCATACCACAAAACTGCAGCTTTAAGAAATCTCAAGAATTTGTGGATTTTTTGTTGGCTAAAAGTAGGTAGTTTCCATCAACTTGCCACCTTTCCACGTGAGCTGCTCTGAACTACCAGTGATTTTGAATGATAGAATTATAATGAAAGAGTTAGCTTGAAGTACTGTAGAGTGACAGTGAGAGAATGGTTAGCTTCTATATAACCTATAGAGTGACAGTGAGAAGGTGGTTAGCTTCTATATAACCTATAGAGTGACAGTGAGAAGGTGGTTAGCTTCTATATAACCTATAGAGTGACAGTGAGAAGGTGGTTAGCTTCTATATAACCTATAGAGTGACAGTGAGAAGGTGGTTAGCTTCTATATAACCTATAGAGTGACAGTGAGAAGGTGGTTGGCTTCTATATAACCTATAGAGTGACAGTGAGAAGGTGGTTAGCTTCTATATAACCTATAGAGTGACAGTGAGAGAATGGTTAGCTTCTATATAACCTATAGAGTGACAGTGAGAAAGTGGTCAGCTTCTATATAACCTATAGAGTGACAGTGAGAAGGTGGTTGGCTTCTATATAACCTATAGAGTGACAGTGAGAAAGTGGTCAGCTTCTATATAACCTATCGAATGATATTGAAAAAATGGTCAGCTTATATATAATTTATAGAGTGATATTAAGAAAATGGTCAGTTTATATATAAAGTATAAAGTGACTATGAGAAAATGAGTAGTTTATATGTAACCTCTAAAGTGACTATGAGAAAATGGACGGTTTACCTATAACATATAAAGTGACTATGAGAAAGTGAGTACCGGTAGTTTATATATAACCGCTAAAGTGACTTTGAGAAAATTGGCTGCTTAAATATAACCCATAAAGTGACTATGAGAAATGGGTACTTTTTATATAACCTCTAGAGTGACTATGAGAAAGGGGTACTTTTTATATAACCGCTAAAGTGACTATGAGAAAATGGGTAGTTTATCGAAGCCATAACACGAAATGTCCTGTTTTCCCCAGTCATCAATGCAGAGAATGCAGCCCACAAATCAGACAAATTTCTAACCATGGCCACAAGAACAAGACAAGAGTACTTAAAAGACCTGGCTACCAACTACATCACAAACACACCCATTGATTCAGGCTCAAAACTCAGTAAGTGCCAGTTCACTCATTCTTTGCATTTCTGTTTCAAACTTGTTTACTAAATATTTATGGGAATAGAGACCTAAATCAGCATTTTTGGGGCTATAGTTTGTACTAAATATTAATAACACCATTTATTTTGTACTAAACACTACAAACAATTTATTTTTGACACGTTGTATGTAGCTATTAAAACAATGTGTTAGTTTGGGTGGTTTTTGAGAAGGTCAGTTGAATACAATTATTGATGTCTTCCGAGTTTTCTCCGGGGGAAGGGGGGGCCTGTACTTAATTATCCATGTATGGTTATGTGGAAGCAATGAGTTTATACATTTGAAAATTATTCTTTCCTCTCAGTGGCAGTACTTGAACCATACGTTGAATGCTCATACTAGACATTGAATGTTCATACTATACATTGAATGTTCATACTATACATTGAATGCTCATACTAGACATTGAATGCTCATACTATACATTGAATGCTCATACTATACATTGAATGCTCATACTATACATTGAATGCTCATACTATACATTGAATGCTAATTTTCCAGGTAAATTTGGTTTGGGCAGTGGCAGAAAAAGAGAAAAGCCTAAACAGAAAGTAGTGCCTGACATGTATGCTAAAGGTGCTGTGGTGTGGGATGTACAGGTGGAAGATATGGGCACCGCCTCACAGGTAACTAGAGCTTTGAAATGCCATGACATGTTTTTTAGCAGACCCTCTGATGATTGAGGTGGAATGTTTGAGCTAGGACATTTGTTGTTTTTGTGTCCATCCCTGTAACTTGGTTGCCGTCCCCTTGCAGGTTGAATGTTTACTGGCAGTTGCAGCGGACACCATTGTGTTAGTGGAGGAAACCAACAAAGACGTCATCTTTACAATTCCTTGTAGCACAGTAATCGGCTGGACACCTCAACCAAGCAGGTAATCTATAGAAATTCCGTGAGACCAGGTGAGTGGCTGGGCACCTCAACCAAGCAGGTAATCTATAGATAGTCCGTGATGCCAGCTTTAGTGGATATGGTAACAAAACATGTCAGTACACCTTATATGAGCCAGTAAAGCTTACATGCACAAGTCAGTACATCTTGCTTGCACAGTTCTCTACATCTTATATGAGCCAACCAGTAAAGATAATATGCACAGTTCATTACATCTTGCTTGCACAGTTCTGTACATCTTATATGAGCCGATGAGTTAAGCTTACATGCACAGTTCATTACATCTTACCTGCACAGTTCAGTACATCTTATATGAGCTGACCAGTAAAGATTACATGCACAGTTGATTACATCTTACCTGCACAGTTCAGTACATCTTATATGAGCCGACCAGTAAAGATTACATGCACAGTTGATTACATCTTACCTGCACAGTTCAGTACATCTTATATGAGCCGATCAGTAAAGCTTACATGCACAGTTCATTACATCTTACCTGCACAGTTCAGTACATCTTATATGAGTCGATCAGTAAAGCTTACATGCACAGTTCATTACATCTTACCTGCACAGTTCAGTACATCTTATATGAGCCGATCAGAAAAGCTTACATGCACAGTTCAGTACATCTTATATGAGCCGATCAGTAAAGCTTACATGCACAGTTCAGTACATCTTATATTAGCCGATCAGTAAAGCTTACATGCACAGTTCAGTACATCTTATATGAGCCAATCAGAAAAGCTTAGATGCACAGTTCAGTACATCTTGCTTGCACAGCTCAGTACATCTTATATGCACAGTTCAGTACAAATTATATGCACAGGGTGAGTGGGTGGCCAAATGGTCTAAACTGAGCAAACCTCAAGTTGGTGGTCTTGTGTTCAAGTCCAGCCAAAGGCCAGTCAAACAAAAACATCACCCCGGGTGGATGAGACTCGTTAACCTTGGTCGGCAACTCATCTAAGAGTAGGAAACTCTGAATTCAAACCCCCCGGAGTTGGAGTCCCGTAAGGCACAAACAATGACAATTCCTGCAACCGAACCCATCCCTGGTTGTCTTGACGTAGAGTCTTGCCACTGGATATGGTGGGCTCGGACGAGAGAGTGAGGTAGACGCCGCGCAACTCTTCTTCACTTTAAACAAAGTCACCCGCGCAAGTCATCAGTCACCAGACGACTCGATGGTCCTCGTCGATCCTCGACGGACGAACAATATAAGCACAGTTCAGTAATCTTATGTGATCTGAATAGTAAAGCTTACATGCACAGTTCAGTACATCTTGCTTGCACAGTTCTGACACTTCTCTTGTCAACTTTTTAAATTGAATATCAGAGCTATTAACAGCAAATATTTTTTTCAATGAAAACATAATTAATTTTTATTTGATAGGTTTTCTGTTTTTTATTTCCCCCCCCCCCCCCCCCTTATTTTTTTCTGCCTTCAATTAAATGGGAACTGTTTGCTAAAATCGGAATGTTTTGTTAAAATTCAAACTGTTTGTTGAAGTAAGATATTATGTTTGTTAAAATGGAAATTTTATTAAAATGATAACTGGTTTTTAAAATGAGCACTGTTTGTTATAATGTACTGTTTGTTAAAATAAGCACTGTTTGGTTTCAGTTTGCGCTTGTATTTTGGAGCCGGTGAATGTTTGTTACTTAGACCAATGTCTGGGGAAGCAGAAGAGATGCAAGAAATTATCACAAGGTTGAAAGCAGTCACACATGGCACTGAGGTATGTCTTTATTATTGATGGCATTTGCCCACATCGGGAATGTATCAGTACATAAGATTGCATTTGAACAAATCAGGGATATAATAGTACATATTAGTACATTTGATGGCATTTGAGCAAAACAGGGATATAATAGTACATATTGGTACATTTGATGGCATTTGAGCAAAACAGGGATATATTATTACATTATAATAATACTAAGAGTTCTTATGTAGCGCGGTACCCGCGCTGTACATAAAAATTTTTATCAAAAGAAATATAATTATGACATTAAAATAAAATACATTTATGAAATAAAGAACAGCAATGTATATTCACCCACCCCAACACATAAATTTTACAAGGCAAACCATGGACGGCAGCCAGCAAGATCATTTATCGGTCAGAGGACGGGAATCAGTCAGGGTAGTATAATTTAAAAAGATATGTTTTGAGTGCAGTTTTGAAGGCCTGGATGGTTGGTATATTGCATATGTGTAGTGGCAAGAATTCCATTGTTTGGGGGTGCAGAAAGAGAAAGATCGTTCACCATATGTTTTAGTGTGTGTCTTGGGAACGGACAGATTACGCGTGTCTGCCGAGGAGTGAAGCTGTCATAGGGGTGAATAGACAGAAAGAAGTTCGGTTAGATAGGAAGGGCAGGAATCCAAGAAAAAGTTGTGACAGAGAACAGACAACTTGTAGTCAATGTGTGCCTGTATAGGTATTATGATTTTGAAAAAATCATGGATAAATTAGTACATGATAAAGCATTTGAGCTATTCAGGAATAATAAGTACATGATATAGCATTTGGAAACAAAAATTCAGGGATATATTAGTACATGATGCAGCATAAGAACAAATCAGGGATATGTTAGTACATTATATAGCAATTGAAAAAATTGGGGATATATTAGTACATTAGATGGCATTTGAAGAATTCATGGATAAATAGCATGACATTTTGGGGTTTAAGCGAGGCCCAGGACACTCGACTTTTTGAGCCTCCCCAGTCCCTCCATGAGTACACTGACATTGCCATGCGGGCACCCGACAGTTGTCCTTTGGATGTGATTTCTTGACCACACTTTACAGCAAACGGTGGCTGCTCCCAGCAAGGCCAGTTCCTTGGAGACTTATGTGCACAAAATATAACACATTTTTTAAAAGCTTTGTCGAGTATTTCCAGCTATTCCACTACTGTAAAAGTTTTGAACTAGCATAAATGTTCCCCAAAACAATAAAATATTTCATTTAAGTGTAGTTGAAATACAAGCATGGAAAAGAAAAGCATTATAGGTCTGAGTGGAAGGAAATAGTGAGGCAGGCCAAAGCCTTACATGGGCTGTATGTAGCGCCACAGGGATGGATGGATGGATGGATGGATGATAGTTGAAATAAGATTTTCCATAAATTCACTCATTTTCACCAGTATTAAAAGTTGTTGTTTTATTTAATTCCTGCAGCCATTTTGTACTGGTTGTGTCGGGTCAATACCAAGATTCCTGCAGGACCTCATTGTTTCCATTTCTAATCTAGTCCTGATTTATTCCAACAGACATCGAAAATGGCATTGAAACGAAATGGCTTGGGACAGCTGGGATTTCATATTCAATCAGAGGGGATTGTTACAGATGTTGAACCCTATGGCTTTGCCTGGGAAGCGGGACTGAGAAAGGGAAGTCGTCTGGTTGAAATCTGTAAAGTTGCAACAACCACACTGTCGCATGATCAGATTGTGGATTTGCTCCGTACATCCGCGGTTGTCAAGGTCGTTGTAGTGCCTCCAATGGAAGACGGATCCCCAAGGTGAGTTTTATATTTGACAGTGTGACTGCACACGTTAATAACCTACTTTGATGGCTACAATGGAGCAAACAAACATAACCCATCTTCTACAATCTGTGTACAATCAAAGTGAGAGAAGACTCTGGACATCTCTTCTCATTATTACATATAGTTCACCTTAGTACTACTTATAGTTAACCTCTTGGACAAGAGACAGTAAAAGAACATTTAATAGTTTCTTTTTGTACAGTTAATTATGAATAAACTTCTTGAGGCTATTGATTATATTAATTTTATTAGAGAAATAGAAACAGTGTGCTATATTTGGTCCATATATCCCTTGAAATTACTTTCCCCACATTTAACTGCCTCATTAGGATCAATATTTACTAAAATCCTGATATCTATCCTCCATGTTTCCTCACAACCAATATTTACTATCTACAATCCTGATATTTATCCTCCATGTTTCCTCACAACCAATAATTGCTATCTACAATCCTGATATCTATCCTCCATGTTTCCTCACAACCAATATTTACTATCTACAATCCTGATATCTATCCTCCATGTTTCCTCACAACCAATATTTACTATCTACAATCCTGATATCTATCCTCCATGTTTCCTCACAACCAATAATTGCTATCTACAATCCTGATATCTATCCTCCATGTTTCCTCCCAACCAATATTTACTATCTACAATCCTGATATCTATCCTCCATGTTTCCTTGACTGGTGCTCATATTCAGCAGGTACGACTGCACCATGTGTTTTTATTTTTGCTGCTGTGTTATCAAGCTACAACATCAAGCTTTTCAATGTTCTGTTGTTTTTATGTTTTAAAATGTGTTTGGCATATGATGACATGCACTTGTGTGGATTGAATGGTTCATTTGCAAGCAATGAGTCAAAATAAAGTAAAAAATCCTACAGACTTCTGCTAGTTAAATCAAGGAACAATATTTCTTTAATACTTGGAAACTTGGTTTGATCACAGTTTTGCTGCGTTCAATGTATGTGTTCTGATTACAATGACAGTGGGCACACACACACACATTCCAACAGACACACACACACATATTCTGACACACACACACGCATAGTCTGACACACACACTTTCTAACGCAAATTCAAAATACCTCAACAAAATATTAGTAACTTGATGCCTTCCATTTCTGATCTCTGTTTCTTTTATCTCTGTTCACATTGTTTGAGACTGTTGTGTGCCTAGCAACACCTTGTGTCCAGCAACACCTTGCGCTTTCTAAATTGAATTATTTCTTGAACAAATTGGCAGCTTTAGCTTGTTCCTTTCCGAACATGAACAATTTTATTCTCATTGAGTAAACAGTTGGTTTTTTTTTACTTTTGCCAAGTGGCTCCTGTGAATTTTTGTTTGAAGTCTCTCCTAATGATGACAAGTCAAGTGGTAAATTCTGAAGATGTTGACAGATGATTGCCATACAGCATATATAACCCATTCACTTGTAATCTGTTGCCCCGTCGTAGATTAACAACAGGGCCTGGAAGGAGTCATCAGCTGGTCTAATGTTAACATTTCTGTGTTTCTTTGCTCAAGAGAAGAATGTGAGAATTGTTTAGTGATTAGTGGAAAGAATTTCAACCCTAAACAATGGCCAAGGAGAATTATTTTTATTTATGTACCTGGTTTTGATTGTACACTACCAATGTCTTTATATCTGGTCTATATCTGGTATGGCATTGTACACTACCAATGTCTTTATATCTGGTCTATATCTGGTATGGCTTGGCATATCATCAAATAATGTATTAGTAGAAATCGTCTATTACTGTGAATCCATCTGGGTTCAGGTCATAATTATTTGTACGTGATCCAGGGCATTATGACCTTGTTTACACATGTTTTAGCCAACAGCAGAAGGGCTGTTTGAATAGAACTGGCCCAAATAATTGACATTGAGAAATGCTGGCTTCATATATGATGTTCTAAAGGGGAAAACATGGTTCTGTAATATCAACTTCAAGCACAGCCATTAATGACACTCTGCAATCAAATGTGGACTGTGTCATATGTAATGTTAATGGTTATAAGGTAAGAGACTCAGCTTTTCAAATTATCTACAGTGAAATTCAATCAGAATTCTGTAATAGTGAAGTATTAAGTGAAAGTAGCTTGCATTTAGTTTTCTTATAAAATATTAATTATTGAAGTCAAACTTTTTAAGAAACAGCATTTCATGTCAAATCTGTGTAATTTAGCCAAGGGTTTTGTTATGGTTACACAGTATTTTCACAAATGACAACCGCATAGTTGATAATCCACTTCATGAATTTTCTGGTTATGTCAACAAATGATCTGCGTGATTCAGAAATCATGGTCTTCATCACTGGAACACAAATCTCTCACAGATTTCCATATCAGAATGCATCCAGTAAAGGGGACAAAACCTCTGTCATCACAACACTTCCATTTAATTTGACAATAACATTCCACATCTTAAAAGGAGAATTTTAATTTTTGTCTTGTTTTTATTCTGCTGCACAAAGCATGTAATTAGTCATCTAGTGTCATGCATCATGTCTTCTAGAGACCGACTCAATTTTGGCTCCGGTTTCGGCACCAAAAGTTGCCACTTTCGGCCTAGTTTTGTTGTCGGCCGAAACAGGAAACTTAACTTTCTGTTTAATTTCGGTTTCAGCCGAAACAGAAAGTTAACTTTCGGTTTAGTTTCCGGCGAGACTTTCGGCCTGATTGAGGTTTTGGTCATCTATCAGAAGTCAGACTGTCTGTCTGTCTCCAGGCCAGCCATTCGACATCTTGCTGTCATCATATGTTATATGACTAATACTCCGCGAAAACTGCTTGCAGCTGCATGATGACATACATGTCCTTCATTTCCAAAAAATTAAATTTGATTTACACCTAGGCAAATGTAAACAGTTTTGTGGAAGAAAAACTCATGGAATGGTAATATTTATATCATTTTTTAAAATTTTTTTTTTGTTAACCCTAGGTTTATTTATTCAAGTCATTCATTTGTGATATTCATTTGATTTATCATTATCATGCTCATAAATGTTGTCATAGGCAAAGGGGAATAATATTGAATAATCCTAGGGAACGGTAATATTACCATTATAAGTTTTCTTTTATTTAAAAAAAAAAAAGAAAAAAATGAGGGAAACTATTTCAATCAATTCATTTCTTGAAATTCATCATTATCATGCTCATAAACATTGTTAGTGATGAAATAAAAGGCATGTGCATGTATCAAGGTTTCATAGAGTAATTATGTAGTAGGCCTACTGCAGACCACTTTACTTTTATGATTTTGGCCACCAATGTACGATTTTGAGATGTCCTTTGTGATTCTCTGCCGAGACCCGTCAGAACAACAAAATTAAGAGACGCCGTTAAAAAAATATTTGCCCCATCCCCCGAGCAATGAGGGCGGGGGAGGTTGGTCGCCTAACAAATAATGACGTCACCAGCACAAAAAGACGTGTGTTGGTACTAATTTAAATATTAATACAGCGATATCTTGCCAACTATTTATGAAAATTCAAAGCATTAGTATGACGATAACCGCTAAACATTGTAATGGTATTTTATAGCCTTAATAACTGATATTTAGGTGACAATTGGCTCTATTAATAATTACTGTAGATATTAGATAGCTTGTTATTATCTTATAAAAGCAAAGGGCACTCAAGGGTATATTTTGCATGAATTTTGCTCCACCCCCTCCTCTTCCCCCTCAGTCCAAATTTTCTCATACCATACTACTTTAATATACATTTTTAAGAAATTTAAATTAATTTTTTATTAAATGTAGCCAAAGTATTTATTAAATGTTTATTTATTAATATTTACGAAGATCTCATTTTTAATAAAAAGAATGTAAATATTGATATGCATGCGTGAACGAATTTCAAATTCTCTAAATGTATCAGCTTCGGTTTCGGCTGAATGTCTCGTTAAGCTTTTGGTTTCTGCTTCCGTTTGGCCGAACGTCATTTTTAACTTTCGGCCTAGTTTCAGTTTCGGCCAAAATCAGAAAATCACTTTTGGTCGGTCTCTAATAATATCACCTCAACATTCATCCCATTTTGATCTTCATAAGGCTCAGTTATTCATTACAATCACAAAGCAATCAAAGTCTGGAATTTTTTCCAATAAAACTGCTCTTGGTTACAATTGAATATTCAATAGCCATATTAAAAAAAGAAATCTAATTACGTTATGTTGTACTCATTTTATTGATCCCCGATTAATTCTCTTACATCCACATTTTCATTATAAACAGTTGTTTAAATCCGTGGCCCATTTCTTTTAAAAAGCGCCACCACACAGATGTTCTTTTGTCATTATGTCTCTGTCCCAATACTGTTTAGTCCACACTGACTAAAACTAAATGTGTTCTCATGACCAGCAGAATAAATGGTGCAAAAACATACTATTTGACAACATTTTCCCAAACTCTGCCCAGACGAAATGTACTCCATCCAGTTTTAAACCATGTGCCCAAACTGTTGCCAGGACTGCTAATATTCTGCCATACTTTCCTGTCCACAGGGGGTTTATCACACTGAACTCTCACCTCCCCCACACGTCCATGATGTCTCTAAACACCATCATGATCTCCGAGCAATTACATGCTTCTCCGTACCAAGGCTCTATGGAGTCTGTCTACATATCTAGGTACAACCGCCAAAGTCTTACTTTACACCGGCCGTGGAAATCTCTCAAGCAGCTGTGTCTTAGCATCCATGACAGGATACCATTGCTTGATTCAAGCTTTTAGAGAAATGTAGCTTAGTGACCCGCTAGAGCCGTTGAGCTACTAGTCTTTGTGTCATCTCTCACAGAAGATATTAAGTTACATAAAATACTGCATGCTTCTTATGCTTTTATTATTCACTAAGTTCCAGGTTTTTTTTTTTGGTTTTTTTTAAATTATGAAATGCCTCTAAACAGTGGTATTATTATTTAAAAGTTCCATAAAGAAAATTTTATAAACATGTCAATTTTTTTTT